TTAGAGTGTTTTGAACTTGCATATACGGGATATTATTTCAGTGCCTATCAAATACCGCTATGCACCTAATAATAGGCTAATTAATCGCTCGAGTTAATTCGAACTGGTCAAACTTTGCAGCTTACTAGTCTATTATACTAACCTTTATCACTGATGACGTATTTAAAAAAGTGAGAACATTACGTTAATTAAATAATTGCACAATACAGTAGGCTAAATGTGTACAAAAAAATTCAACAATCGAGTAATGAAAAATAATGTATGCGCAAGTTTGTATATACGTTTACGACACGATTTTTCTCTCGTATAACGCATAATGTTATATGTCGCTTTAAATTTCCTGTGTAATGCATTCGACCTTGGCTTCAAAGTAAAAAAAAAAGGCAAAATTATGAAGTTCTTATCGAAAGCACGTGGAAGCAGGTTCCGATCGAGCGAGCAGCCCGTACTTAATCATCGTGCGTTTCATTGGCAAACTCGCGACGGCCGATGTCACATTGTGAAACTCATTTGCATGTCGTTACATTCGCGTCGATTAATAATAATCGGCCGATGGCGAGACACGCCGCGACTCTCGCAAGATTGAAGGCGAGAGCCTTGGCATTCGACGAAGACGGATATTTGTATACAGAGCGATAACACCACCCTTATCTCCTTATCGTAACCGTGCGATATTGTCTTCGTGACCGAGCCGTCAATATCGAATTTAAAGGATTATCGCGCGAGATGAAGTGTACGTGCAGAGATGAAACGCGAGAATATCCGTACAAAGAACACCGAGGGGGACATATACGTATAAGAGCACGTAAGAGACGTCAGCATACGTCGTCGCTCGAGTTTATTAACAAGAATGATTTGAAAAGAAATTATTACGAAATTAATACACGTATATAGGTATAATTCTCCCATTCATAATGTCATGTCAAATATCTCGACGTCAGGGAAATCTTGTTTGAAATAACACGCGAATATGTGTATACATATATGTCGTATAAAGAGATTACTTATCGCAGATAATTTTAATAAAGCATCGCGTCGCGTATGTGTCAGTAAAAATTGTTATCTAATACTTGGATAGTATATAGAAGAAACTCTAGCGTATTTTCTAATCAGCTGCTTACTGCACATCTTTCTCTCTTCGCCTCTGATTGAAATCGTAACGTAATAAAATTTTATATCTATATGCCTTATTCTTTATATCTTATCCTTGTAGTCGATAACTTTGTGTATGTGTGTGTATGCATGTGCGCGAGCGACTCGACGGAATCTTCGCTCGACTATCAACTATGCCGGCTCGTTAGGATGTCGCTTTGTCGGACCGTTTATGCGTGCAAACTTGCGCAGATTCCGCACCGATGCTCGCGCGCTAGATAGCGAACCGATCAAAACGATCATCGACGATTTATGGTATATCTCGAGTGAAACTAATGTCCCATGATAAAAGTTGAACACATTTTTAAATATCGCGAACGCGAGTATACGTATTATTTTATGTCAAAGACAGGTCAGAAATAAATTTTAAAGAGCCTGTATCAATTGTCAATGGGAAACATAAATAATTGTGCATTTTCCGCGCGAACACAGATATCGGAGAAGTTACATTTTCAAAACTATGTAATTCATTCATGCTGTACAAAATACGCCAACGTTGATTATATCGATTGATTATTCTGCGACGTTTCTATATAAACGTTGGAGAATAAAATTATAAATAAAAATTAATTCACACTCTGAAATAATATATAAGTATAGTTGGAAATATAAAAGCCTGCGCACAATAGAAAGAATATTAGGAATGAATATTAATTAAGAATAGAAATTATTTTAAAATAATAAAGTCGGAAAAATGTATAAAGGGCTTTACTATATAGCCTTTATACTCCAATTTGTTTTTTATATTACTTTTTCCATTTCATTATTTTTAAATAATTCTTATTCCTATACTATTTTCTCTATTGTACACAGGACCTAAAAAAAAAAAAAAATATTATATATAAATTTCAATAAAAGAAAAAATGTGATATTTTTCTTCTTTTATTTAATTTGTATTTTTTTCTTCGCATTTCTGCTTGGAATGAAACAATATGATAGTGCGCGTTGTACAATAAATCGTCGAAGGTTGTCTTAAGGATCTGATTAAGTCTCTCGTCGCGGGTAAGAGATATAATTTATCACAGAGGCGTGATCCGCGGATTACACGGTGCGAGGATACCAAGGCATACTCTTTTCTCCCGTGTGTTCTATGAGAAACGAGAAGGGAGGCCGTCTTTAATCGGAGCGAGAGAACCGCGCGAGCCGGGTCCCCATTATTTTCTCGGTCAACCTAACAAAGTCGATATTAACGACAGGAGAGAAAAAAAGAATTAGTGACCTAACAATCGCCGGGTGACAATCTTAAATAACGCCATTACGTAATTAATTTTTTCTTTCGCTTTGACACGTGTGTAACGTGCTTCTTCAACCGTGTAGTTTATAATTAAGATTCAAAAGCTTCGTGATAGCCAATTCGCGTTACGATTTTTTTTATGATTGAAGAAATAATAGTAAAATTTATTACGCGTAATTTAATGTAATAATTTTTCGTGTATTATAACAAAATTGTATTTGTTTAGGAGTTTTATAGCGATAAAATGGCAAATTAGTGCAATCAAATTCTTCCTCGTTAGCAGACGTTTGATAAGAGACTAAGAGATTCTGATGAATAGAATTTATGAATGCAGACGATAAGAATTACTGTTTTGAATTTTGGCAAAGTTATCACCAGTTGCAACATTGACAAAAATCACGTTCTTGAAATATAGATTTTTAAATAGAAATATTGATCTAAATGGATCCCTGCTTATTACTTGTACGAATTCTCGAAAACTCCATACTGTTCTTATATTTTGTATCATGTCTATCATTAATCTCCTTATCCTGGTTATAAATTATATAATACGTAAATTTTATGTAATTCCTCTTCTTCACTTAACACTCTGGCTATAAATTAGATAAAGAAATTACTACTGTACACTGTGTCAATGTGTGTGCATATGTAAACAATGTAATTACTAAACACACATCTCTCAGATGAGTCTTATCAGCACGGTATTAATTCCAGCTCGAAAATGATTAACCGTATATCGAAAGTATAGTTATGAAAAATAATTGTTTTATTTATAAAAATTTATTCATAATTGTTTCACTCTTATACATCTATCAAAAAATAATATTAAATGTAAAAATGTAATAAATAACAAGAATAATATTCCGAGGGAGAATTTCATCTTCATCGTAGCGGAATTATATCTTCATTTAGGTGAGATTTCGATCAGAGAATGTCAGATCATGATTCGGAATACAGTTATGAAATTACGACGCTTTGAATAAGACAACTGTGCAGATATCGAATTAGGAGCAGAATATCGGAATATCGGAGCACACCGGAGAGATCAAATTAAGAGCACGATATGATTATATTACCCGCGATTACTATTCGGCATCAGTCGCAAATCACCATCATACTATGACAAAATGGTGTTAAATACTCTCTGAATTTTAATTTTTAATAGCAGTCTTAATCGCCATAATCTTAATCTCGTAATAATGAGACGCGTCTGGTTCGTTGCAGAAGCAACGTAAAGTTTCTTCAACATTTTGTTTTTTAAACACGCTACATATATTTATATACGATAACGTTTAAGTGAAAAGTACCACCAAGCCATCAAAGGATCGCTAAACCGCCAACGATCCGCTTGGAAGCAGATATACATACATTACTCTCGCGAATTTTCTACGTCTCGACTTCTACGTCCGGGTCTTCGGCGGAGGATCGCAGAAGAGAGAAGAAAATCTCGAGACGTGGAGCAGCGTCGGACAGGCGCGCTCGAGAAACCGACCTGGACGGCGTCCAAGAAGACGTGCACGCATACCTAACAAACATCGATAATGGGAGGAGAAGCCTCGACGGAGATTCACCGTGACCGAAAGAGTGTTTGTTCCTCCCACCCTACCACATGTCTCTCTCTCTCTCTCTCTGTCTCTCTTTCATCAGTACATATACACAGTTTTCTCTTAGAATTTATCCTGAAAATCATGGTAATCGTATGGAAGAATTTTATGAGTTTCTCTGATTAATATTTACACCACAATAAAATTTAAAAAATGTTTGATTAATTTTACTACGTTTTTTATTGTGGCAAATATTAATCAGAGAAACTCTTGTAAAAATTCTTACAATATTGTCCCATGATTTTCAGAGTAAATTTTAAGAGAAAATTCTCTCCATGTATACAGGATGTATCTAAATAAGTACGAACAATTTTAGATGATTTTTTGTCGAAAATTCAGGTCTAACTTACACTCTTATACCCCTCTCTGAGAAGTTACACTTTTCTAAAGAGGGAAATTAAAATTTTTATTTATTTTCTCAAATGTCAGAAAAAATGAAACTCGGTGGATATTTATTATTTTTTTGATCTTCCTGTATTGTTATAAGGGGTTGAAACAACCTCTATTTAATTTTTAATGTTTATATAAGAAAGCCCCCTTAATTTTCGACAAAGAATCATCCAACATTTTTCACTCTTATTTAGATACATCCTGTATATATATTTTCTTCTCTTATTGTTAGAATTTATCCTGAATATCATTGTAATCGTGGGACAATATTTTATTGGAGAAATTTTATAAGTTTCTGTGATTAATGTTTACCACAATCAAAATATTATCTACATGTTAATATCTAATCTCTACAATAAGATTATAAAAATATGTTCGATTAATACTATATGTAATACAGTATAATTATATTACTATACCGATTAATATTAATATTTTTTACTGTGGTAAATCTTAATGAAGTAAGAGAGAGACTTGGAAAATTCTTCCAATATCATAATATCCCACATGATTTTCAGGGTAAATTCTGAGAGAAAAAAATTCTTCCCACGTATATATATCCCTCTTACTTTTTTTTCTCCTCGGCGCCGCAAGTAGATACGTTTGATAGAGAAACTCACCGGATCTCGGGCGGCTTACTGCTGGATCATCAGCGAGGCATATCGACGACGGGAGAGTCAGGTCGGTCTGGCGACCCGAGTAGAATCCCTTGCCGAGCCGAGTCGAGCCGCGTGTGTAAGTATCGATCTCACTCACCCCGCGTGAGCGTCAACGGGAGCGAGGCCGAGCGAGCGGCCGATCCTCAGGATCGGCGCCGCGATCTCGCTCGAGGCCGTCGACGATGAAGGACAACAACGACGATGAAGGAGGCGCGCGCGCGGCACTGATATTCGCGAATAATATTTACGCCTGGTGCATGCGCCGGCGATCGAGGATATACCCGTCCTCCTCGTCGTCGTCGTCGTCGTGGTGCCGCGGACTCGTGGAACGTGGACGCGCGTGTTTGTCGTGTCCCTCTCTTTTTCCTTTCTCTTTCTCCTTTTCTCCCTCTTTCTCTATCACTACGTTCTCCAGAAACGACGTCAATGGTCCCGCGCGCGCGATCGATATCTCCCTACACCGCGATACGGCAGCAGCACTCCCGTTCTTCTCGCACACACGAAGAGGAGGAGAGAGAGAGAGAGAGAGAGAGAGAGAGAATGGAGAGAAAGACGGAGGCGCGAGATCGCGCGATCGTTCGCCGATCAAAACAAAACTCGCCACTGCTTTTCTTCTCCTCCTTCTCCTTCACCACCACAACCTCGCGCACTAATTTTCTCGCTGCTGCCGATTTCACGCTAAAATTAATTTCGGGCACTCACGGTTTAGGTTCCTCTTCTCGTCGTGTGTTCCTGTCTCTCTCTTTCTTTGGCACACTCTTTCTGGATTCTGTCGATGAAAAAAATTCCGAAATCGGATCTGTCAAATTTCTTCAAGTTCTTTTCTCTCTCTCTCTCTCTCTCGCTCTTTCTTCTCTTGGCACGTCCTCTTTCTTCACCTTCGCCGTTTAATCACTTTGCGAAAAAAAGCGTGCTGGGTTAATAACGTCGTCGTGAATGATTCTTAGGTCGTCGTGCGTCTCGCACACCCGCGTGCGTAAATTGCACTCGCTGCTCTCTCCGTTTTGACACGCGCGCACGGTTAGAGACAAAGATAGGTTAGCTTTTATTATCCGCGACGTGTGTGTATATATCGATATCGCAAGAGGGACTAGATAAGTTGACTAGATGCACACAGTAGCAAAGGGGGATAGGGGAACCAAGCGCGTCTCTTTCTGAAAATATATTCTTTTCACGCGCGGCAACAAGAACAACAAACAACAACAAACAACGACGACGATGCAGAGAGGCGAAGACGAAGAGAGACTCCGACGGCGTAACACGCGCGGACGGCACTGCTTCTTCTTCTTCTCCTTCTACGCTGCCAGAGCGTATTCAAATTTAGACACGCGACGACGGGTGCTGCCCTGGCTATGCACGATGATGCACGACGACGACGACGGCGGCGGTAAGCTTGCCGTGAGGACGGTTAAAAAACCGGGGCGGTCGCGCGCGCTTCGACCAGTTCGCCCCGAGTTCGCGGTCGAGCCTGAAATAAAGATTTAAGGAAGTCGGCCTGAGAACCCGAGCGAGAGAGAGGAGAGCGGGTGCGTGTGTACGTGCGTGCGAGCGAGACGGACAACGGGGAGGGAGACGCGAGCGCGAGAGAGAAGGCACGAGCGAAATGAAGCAGGAGGGGGAAAAGCGACTCGCCGCGGCTGACGATCGTGTACCAGTCGGTCCACCTCGCCTCTGAAATGCGCCACGGCAAGGCGAAGATACGTCGGAGCGGCGCGCCCGCTCATTGGCCGAGGCCGCCGCGGACGTCAGACGCCGACTGGCCAATCGCGGCGTCACGCGCGCGCCATCTCGCGGCGCTCTCGGTCAACTAGTCTCTCCCCGTCGTATTCGCGGCGGCGCGCCGTCGCATGTCCTCGCAGCTGATCGGTGCGCGCGACGCGTGCGCGACGTCGGACGGGATGCTGTCGCTGCCGCGAGACCGCTCCGAACTTTCGGACAGTAGACTTGTACAAACAACTTGGACGCGGCGCTTCGTCGATCATGATCTGCCTGACACGTGATCTTGTCAGTTTCTTTTACTTCTTTATAGGCAATACGTTTGAGTTTAGCCGCAATTCTTTATATAGTAAATAGAGGAAATAAAGAATTTTATATAAGGAACGCACATTCCTAAATGTTTGAGATCTATTGTTTTTTTTTTATCGTGCGCACACTGAGAGAATTTTCTCGTAGAATTTACCCTGAATATCATGGTAATTGTGGGACAATATGTTGGAAGAATTTTTTATAAGTTTCCCTGATTAATATTTACCACAATAAAAAATATTAATTACGGTAGATATTAATATTTTTGATTGTGATAAAAATATGAAGCTTCTTAATTAAAATTCTCTCTTGTGTTTTCTTTATAAAAAAATAATAAAAACTGCAGAGCACCTCCTTTCTTGATTAACAATAAATTGTGTTTCAAACGTGCAAATAAAATAAAATATTTTCTTATGATTCATATCATTGTGATTTTGATGCATGAAATTAAGATTTAGCCATATATCCTTATACAACATAAACTATAACACTGAAAAAAAATTGTCAACTTGACTAAACCGTCCAACTAAATTACAATTTTGTTAATAAACATGTGTAAATATTTAAGTCAAATACACATTTTGTTAAATTTAATATGTTATATTTAATTTAAATATTTCTACATGTTCAATTAACAAAATAGTATTTAGTTGAACGATTTAGTCAAATTAACAACTTTTTCTTTTCAATGTGAATATACTTAAATAATGTAGTTACAGATGTAATTAAAATTTAATATTTTCTAGTTCGATCTTCTCGTTTGACAATGATAAAATGAGATTTGTAATCAATGTTTTGAAGGCTTCATCGATATGATAAAAAAAACAAACGTTATTCATGCGACAGTAAATTAACAGAAAATTGCACGCATCGATGTAACGATCTTTCGATTCTCACAAATACACGGAGAGACCGAAGTCGAGTACGTAAACAATCTGCGATTCCCCAGGCAATCATCTCTGAATGTAATTTACAATCTTCGCAACATACATGTTAAGCGATGATTAAATTCATGGCGCAGTATTTTCCTCGGCAGAAACCCGTGTGGCAAAGAGCGAAAGAATCTGATCGCGACTAGAAGATTACTCTTCGTGAAAAAGAGACGATTATGAAACGAGGGAATTAACAACGGCGATTACGAGAATCATTACGTCGTCGCAACGACAGAGCGAGAGAGAGAGAGAGAGAGAGAGAGAGAGAGAAAAAAGAAATTGCTCCCGGGCACGTGTTTACATGTGTGTTGCGTGACAGAGAGAGAAAGAGAGACGGAGATTGATAAAAGGCAATGACGAATGACACCCGAACGTGTTGCATTGGCGTCAATCGATGCGGTGATTCGGCGAGCGATAGGCCGAACGTGTTTACGCAAATGTGGCATCTTTACACCTTATTAATATTTTGCTCGCCAGAAATATAACGGCGGCATGGTTCAAGAATCGACCTACGTTTTATACGGAGTCGCCGCCGCCGCGCCGCATCGTTACAAAGTGTATATACGCCCGAGTCGACGAAAATAACAATTGTGCTATAGAAACTGACCGACCGCAGCGGCAAAACTAAACTCATACATACCGCGTGCGCGTATATATGCAGGTGTATGATTCTATTTAAGGCATTACCCACGCGTATCCACCGATTTCCGCGTAACTTTTGTTGTCGCGTGCATTATTTTTTTTCCTTCGTCGTTCCGCAGAAAAAAACATCCGCGATAAATATTTTCTTCCCAGATCGAATCGTTTGTTCGAGAGAGAGAGAGAGAGTTTTGGGAATTTTTTTCTTCATAATTCGAATAACTCGATTTTTGGATGACAGAGTGAAACGTCAAATTGACAATCCCGAAATATAAAGTATATACACACAGAGAATTTTCTCTTGAAATTTACTCTGAAAATCATGGTAATCGTGGGACAATACCTATATATTGGAAGAATTTTATAAGATTTATAAAAAATATTAATTAGCATAATTTTCAGGGTAAATTCTAAGAGAAAATTCTCTCCGTGTAAATAAGGAAATTTCATTTCTAGTTCGATTTCCTGTTTCTCGTTTTAACAAGATTCTAATCTGTATAGATGTAAAGTTCAAATGTTGAAAAGTCCGCGACGCGCGGATCAATATTTCTCCTGTCAAAATATCCCGGTATATATAATTAATTATTTGCAAAATATACGTATACGAAATAAACAATTGATGACTGATCTGAGAGACGAACGGATCCTCCTCTTTTCAGCTTCAACTAGACAGTTTAAAAAAAAACACCCTTAAAAGATATAAAAAATGAACCGCGACGGAGGAAATGATTATTAATCACGGGTCCGTTGACAAGAGGGATGGATCTAAAATCGTTCATTGACAGAGTTTTCGAGAAACTTCTGCGATCGACATCTAAAACCAATGTCCCGATTTCCACCGGATGCATCTGAAATGGTCGATTCGCTAAGGTGATATCGAGTATCGCGGTTAAACACGTCAATCGAGTCGCCGACACTCGCGGTCCATCCATCGAGGGTGGACGGCCGATGGTAAAATAACAGTCTGTGTGAGAGAGAGGAAGAGAGAAATCTGTCCTGACAAATATATCAAATCCTGAAAATACCCGCACGCGTACATTTTCACAGCCAGATTTTACGATACGCCATTAATATCGCGGAATTGCGCTCGCGAATAGCCAAGATTGTATTTTTCTTTTTTTATTGAAATAAAACGATATGAAACCGAGAAAAGACATACGCTAAATATGAGAATATGTAATGTCACTTTGTTCCAAGTAGCGAAATAACTGAATCTGTCTTGGTCTATATTCCAGAGATGCTTTTTTTATCGGCGAATGTAAACTTGCTTGCATACACTGCAAATATTTCATAGTATTTAGCAACGGGAGTGCATGCAAAAGAAGAAATTATTCGTGAGATCTCACAAAATTACGACACGCGACCATAGTGCAAGATTATTCGAATCGATCGTGAGCATGCATTCGATAAACTCGATTTAGGTAACAAGCATGCACAACTGTTGCACTGGCCTGGATTGTAGGATACAATAATAAGACGGAGATTCGCGAAGAAAAAAAAGGAGAGAGAGAGGAGGGATGAGAGAGCATTCGAATATTGTGTCGACGTAAAAAGCTCGCGCGATGCCTGTCGATATTTAACGAATTATCGCCAACAGCATCGGGGGTAAATATAAATCTACTCCAGGTCGGATCGTAATGCATTATGCATGAGTTGCAATGTAGCTGTCCCCCTACAGGAGATCGGACAACCTAACCCGTCAAGAGAGAGAGAGAGAGAAGAAGAGTGCTCAATATGTCCTGGCCTATCGATCTCGCGACGAGAGCGGGCGCGAGAGAAGACACGAGAAACGGAAGATGGATTATTAATAATTAATAAGCCCTAAAACGGACCCGCGGTCGACGATGAGCGCTCAGAAATAATATACGTCACAGAGATACGCAACGCGATGTAACCGCTATGGCTGCGTAGCGAATAATTGGGTTGATAGTTGCTACACAGAGAATTTTCTCTTACAATTTCACCCTGAAAAGCATGATAATCGTGGGACAATAATACGATATTGGGAGAACTTTTATAAGAGTCAATAAAATATATTAATATCTACAACAATAAGATATAAAATATGTTTGATGAATTTTACTATGTACATAGTAAAATTTTATTATATCAATAAAAATTCTACACAGAGAGAATTTCTCTTAGAATTTACTCTGAAAATCATGGTAATTTTGGGACGATATGATATTGGATTAATTTTATAAGAATTTCTCTGATTAAAAAAAATATGAATATCACAGCATGTAAAATATTCGATTAATTTTACTATGTACATATTAATATTTTTTATTAATGGTAAATAATCAGAGAAACTCTTGTAAAAATTTGTCCAATACCGCATATTGTCCATGATTTTCAGAATAAATAAAATTCTAGGAGAAAATTCTCTCTAGTAGGGTGATGTCATTACGAGTGAATTCGCTCAATGATACTTGTTAGTTAGGTTTGTGATGCTCCGTAGAATCATCAGAGACAAGTCAAAAGGCATAATTAAATTTTTAAAATTATTAAAAATTAATTATTCCGACTCGCTTTTAGATCGCAAAGTAAGTCTATTTCTATCGCGTCTTAATCCGAATAATATTTGGCCCTAAAATTATTTATATCTTTTATTCCGCTTATGTCTGTCATCATTTCTCTGCTAAATATCGATATGAAAATATTCAAACGTATTGCAAACATTCCATGCTACATTCAGAGTAATTATAACATCTGTATCAATACATTTAATTATTACAGTATATGCATACAGTTTAATATTTTTCAGACTAAAATTTAAGAACTTTGAATCATAAATTTGGTGCAAAAAATCCGCGATGCGATAGCCAGGATTCAAACAAAAGCAAATGCTAAAAGCTGATATATGTATGTAATGCTTTCGGAGTGTGCATCGTAAAATATCGAAAAATGTCAGTAGTCCACCGATGCTTGGACGAACAGAGATATTTAATTAAGCGAATATATAAGTTATGCATGTGGCCGCCACGCGAGAGATGGAGTGAACTGACGTGCTCTGGCTGGATCGACTGCGCACATATATATACATAATAACACTTTCGGAGAAGAAA